GTATATCATTTTGCTTATACAAACAGTAGCATAGTTTTTATGGAACAGTTGTCCTTGTGTATATCATTTTGCTTATACAAACAGTAGCATAATTTTTATGGAACAGTTGTCCTTGTGTATATCATTTTGCTTATACAAACAGCAGCATAATTTTTATGGAATAGTTGTCCTTGTGTATATCATTTTGCTTGTACAAACAGCACCATAATTTTTATGGAATAGTTGTCCTTGTGTATATCATTTTGCTTGTACAAACAGCACCATAATTTTTATGGAACAGTTGTTCTTACTCTTCTGTTGGTTGATTTTTTTAAACTGAAAAACAATAATTTTGTATGTAATTTTTATATGAATTGTACCTTTAATTTACTAGCATTTTGTTGATCTTGTAAAGTGTGCAAATTTATCTAAGAATATCATTTATTGAAGAAAACAGTTTTCAAAACCTTAATCAAAAAGTTTGGAAAGATCAGTTTAAAACAGAAAAATAAAGGTTATTTGTATTCCTAAACAATGATGTTACATTGTGAATTGTTTTTTTAAACATCTGTATAGGCTGGTTGGAGCCCTTGTTAGACCGTATTGCACAAAATTCTACAACAGTGGTGTGTCCAGTAATTGATGTAATCAATGATGATACATTTGAGTACCACTTCAGGGACTCTAGTGGTCTGAACGTTGGTGGATTTGACTGGAATCTTCAGTTTAATTGGCATGGAATTCCAGAAAGAGAGAAGAAACGTCGCAAGCATCCATGGGATCCTGTCTGGTAGATATGCATGTTTTATGCCTTTAATGCATATAAAACTTGTTTAGTCACACGTTTGGAATATAAAAGGTTTTTTACTTGTGTAGGACTGTGAAAAGACATTATGTATATCTAATGACTATTCCATCCTTAATTCTTATCGGAGTACACACACATAAGAATGCCCCCCCCCCCAAACCAAAACAAAAAAAAAACTAGAACAAACTGTGTATGTAATTTTTAATACGTTGATTTAAAACACATTCCTTGCAAATTATATTGAAATAGATCTATCAAGTCTTTCATCTTATGCTTACTCAAATTCTTTGAGCAAAATAAAGTAATAAGAAAGCTCTCTGTGAAATTTATTTGACTGAAAGGTTAACCAATTTTTACACTTTCTTAAAACTAAGATATTATCATAAATATTTCTTTGTATTAATAGGGAAATATATAAGAGTTTCAGAAAAAAAAAGAAAAAGATTTAAACCTATTTAATCTACCTATTCCTAAAAATGTTACAGTAGTGATACAGGCTAAAGCCATAATGGTAATTCAAACATTAAGACTTAAATTATTACAAGGGACAGTAAAAACTAACAGACTTCATGACTGATCTTCATACTTGAATGATATAATAAAAAGTACATTATTAATACGAGAATAAAATTAATTGAAAATTTACTCCCACTTTAGGGCTTAGTTCCCTATGCTGTGGGAGGTCTCAGTACTACTACATAGAAATGTAGGTATTTCATATATATATAAAAAAACCAAAAAAAATTATAAACTTAATATAGTTAGGCTTGCCTCTTAAAAAATACTTTACATTAGATAATATTTAAAGTGAAATAGCAATGTATATTACACAGAAGCCACAATATTAAATATATCCTTTCTTTCAATCCATTGTGAACATTAGGTTTAGATACTTGTCTGTTTAGGAACTGGTAAAACATTCTCAATTCGGATAATTCAATAAAGGATTTATTTATTTTTAAATTTAATCTTGAATAACAACTTGCATTTTATACAGAGATAAAAAATCTCTAGGGAAATCTTTTGAGACTTTTGAAATAAAAAGTATATATGTTATACTTAATTATGTGACTTCTGCAAAATTTGCAGATTATTTTAGTTGTCATTGTTTTTTTTATAAAGACTGGTACTGTGGGAAGTTGTAATAATCGTCTGCAAATGCTTCCTTCATTTGTCAAAATACTTAACAGATTCAAAGGACTAAACATTTCATCTCTCAATTTTATGCTTACTTACCTTGTCCAGCTGTGGATTCTTGTCTTTTCTCTAATTTATTTTATTTTTTATAATTATATTGAATATGTGTATTCTTTATACATCAACCCATAGGTCTCCAACTATGGCAGGAGGATTGTTTGCCATTGATAGGAAGTTTTTTGAAAAACTGGGAACTTATGACAGTGGGTTTGATATATGGGGAGGAGAAAACTTAGAACTTTCTTTTAAGGTAATTTTTTTTCGTTCCATTTCACAGTAAGTATTTTATTTCAAATTATTGTAATATATAGACAATTGCAAGTTTGCTGGATTATCAACTTTTTTTATAGATAAATAAATATAATCACACTGCTTTACCATCGCATCTTGCTACTCCCATCTGGATCACTTTATATTGTGGATTGTCTGATAGTGGACTAAAAATCATGTGCTATTCCCCATGTAACTCGCTACACTTCCTGAAAGTATTAATTACTGGTAAAGATATATTTGTACATTTTGATCTTGATTACAAAGCTGGGTAATGTGCAACATGGAAAATCTAAAAAGCAATCAGAAACTTTGAGAAAGGGTCAAAGTCAGGAAAACTTTTACAATGGCATAAAATTTGGAAACATTATGTGGTCTCTCTTTTTTTTTTCTATCTCAGAACCTATATACAGACCATGCTGCATAGCTGTGCCAATTATTGGTATATTTTAGCATAATCTTGGACAGCCATTGTGTTATTTTACCTAGTTATAGTTATCCAATTCATTATATTTAATAGACTAAATCAAATTTGAATTTATAAATAAAAGTTCAAAATTTGATTGTCTACCACCAATTTTTAATGTCCTCGTTTCAAGATCTTTTCCTGTATCATCATAGTCTGAAATTTTTATTACTTTGTATAATATCAGATCAGGGGCATAGCATAAATAGTGTGAAGAAGAGCAAGATTACCACCAGCTTTATAAAAGCTGTGCACAACCAATATTTTTGGGCCTTTACCCAAAAATGTTCTATTGCTTGAATGCTGTAGTAGAATATTTCAGCTTCCCTGGTCAACCTATTGCAATTATGAAAGTTCTTTCTATTTTACTCTAGTCATGTATGTGTTCCTCAGAACCATTATCATTGGGGAAGCTTCTTGTCAGTCTTAAAAACCTTTCCTTCTTAAGGCAATGAATCGTTATGTAGCTGGTGCAAGCTACAAAGATGGAATAAATTCAGTTTCTTTAGTCCATTTAATCTTTTGCCAAATAGTGAAATTTATGATGTACACCTTTTTAAAGTTCTAAATTCACGATGATACATTTTACTTTTTGACATTTTCCAACATTAATCAGTAATTCATATCTTAGAGGTATAGAACTGAAATGAGTGTAAATTTGTTTCAACGTTTCTGAAAGGAAGCATAAAAGTAGTCTTTTATTTTCTATAGAAAGGGTTGTATCTTGTTTGTTTTGGTCTTTAGAAGTTTCTTGAACTATTGCAAAAATATTAGTGTCCTTTGAACATATGTTAAGTCAAGGAAAGACTTGTATTTAATTTTGGAATACATTATAATCCTCCAGATTTCAAGGACTACTTGGTTCCCTGAAACCACACACAAGTTATGGTGTCACCCTACACTCCTAAGCCAAATTAAAAGCTAAAATGGTATTTATTAGGTGGAATTATAATAAAAAAAATTGAAATATCGGCTTGCTTTGCATGAAGGTGTTTTGAAAAAAATCTATAATTTTGTGCGGAGACTCAAAGAAAAAAAAATCCTTCACACCCTTGTTAGAAAATATATACAATCACTTTATAATTTTTGTTTTCTATCATAGACATGGATGTGTCATGGGACATTAGAGATAGTACCTTGTTCTCATGTGGGCCACATCTTTAGGAAGAGAAGCCCTTACAAGTGGAGATCAGGGGTGAATGTGTTAAAGCGAAACACAGTTCGATTGGCAGAAGTGTGGCTAGATGATTATGCTAAGTATTACTACCAAAGGATAGGCTATGACTTGGTGAGAAATAATTTATGAAAAACTATCCATTATTTTTATTAGTTCTGTATACATTGGCAGAAGTGTGGCTAGATGATTATGCTAAGTATTACTACCAAAGGATAGGCTATGACTTGGTGAGAAATAATTTATGAAAAACTATCCATTAAGCTTGCTAAAATGCTTATGGTTTATTCACTGTATGATAACTGTTTGTTTCAGATATATACCCAAAGCTACACAATAAATATCTGCACTAGCCATCTTTAATTCTGAACTTTTAGAGTTAATCAACACCTATTATCAGCCCTTGGGCTACTGTAATCGATTAGCAGGATTTCAACATCACTCTTATAATGCACCAATAACCCGAAACATTGCATATAATAATAAAGTTTTTATTATAGATGTGTGTTTTACCAATTTTGAACACTTTTTTCATTATTTTTCCATGTCTTGCAGTCTTTTCTACTGTGTGTTTTTTATAAACTAACTGTGTGACCCACATAAGTATCAAGACTCATAAATTATTATGTATACAGAACTAATAAAGAGGAAAATTTGATGACCTTGATCATTCTTTAGCAAACAGGGTACAAAGGAATATGTATAAATAAAAAATACAATAGATAAATTTTCACAAATAAAGAAAATGTATTTAACAATTTAATTTCTGATAAGTTTCTGCTTATTGAAAGTTCTAGCTTTTTTTCTAAGATTAAATTTCTTCCAAGTTTTCCTTTTTAAGGTAAGACAGGCTTTTGTCATGCAGTAAAGTTAGCAACCTCAGTAAATTTTCAATCACCTCTCTTATTACTGTTGTATTAACTTGTTCTGAATTTCATTGAGAGAAGACAGGGTTATCATAACATTAATTAAGTTACTTTAATCTATTTTATCTAACCTGTAAAATTTGCCAATTTTTTTTTTAAGAACTTTGAAACACTTTCTTCACTTTATTAAAACTAGGTCTCTCTTGTTCATTGTTTAACTTCTGTAATGCTAACTGTAATAAATAAGACTTAAAAACTGTATGAAAATAACGATAAGACTAGGAAAATTGTTTATATATTATTGACAGTTGTACTAAGACTAGTATGGCTATGTTATTTAGGGTGATAATCTTAAGACTAGTATCACTATGTTTATTTAGGGTGATAGTCTTAAGAATAGTATCAATATGATATTTTAGGGTGATAGTCTTAAGACTAGTATGGATATATTTTTTAGGGTGATTTTGGTGACATAAGTTCAAGAAAGGAGCTAAGAAAACAGCTGAAATGTAAAAGTTTTGATTGGTATATTAAAAATGTTTACCCTGAACTTTTTGTACCTGGAGATGCAGTGGCTTCTGGAGAGGTAAGTTGCTGATGTGAAAAAAATTTATTAGTGTAAAGTTTAGATTCAAAGTAATGAGGGATGTTAGTTTCCAAGATTGTTTTATGAGGTAATGTTTATGAGAAAATTGAGGTTAAAAACAATAACTCAAATAAACAAACAGTATTTTACACAGTGCAAAAATATTATTACTATATTTATGTGTAACAGGCTGTCATAATGCCGAATATATATAAAACAGCCAAAAAATGGTATTTATTTTAAATATCAGAAAGATACGGTTGTTAATTTTTACAGCTGCTGCTAACTCAAGAAGTTTGCATGAGAAACAAGGAGACAGAATCAAAATTTCACAGAACAAAACATACATTTTATTTAGTAACAATTACAAAAATAGTTTGCTGATTAGCTTCCTAAAGAACATAAGATATACAAGATTGACATTTTATGATTTATCAAGCTGTTTTTGATTCATTTCAGTATTTAATCTTTTTTAGCATTTCTACGTACAACTTCAGGAAAATGTTTTATATATTACTGACAATTAAACATCGGTAGTAGAGATAAAGATATTAAAACAGTTTTAAGCAGAAGACTTGCTTAAAAATTAACTTCCTTATTTTTACTTAGTTTCACTTACTACATTCATTCTATACTTAAGTTCAATCTTTATATATTATTAGTATGTGGAAAGATAAAAGAACACTCAAGGTGGAAGTTGGTCTGTCAAGGTTTTAATGCTAATTTAGATGACATTAAGGCCTTAATTGATTCTTACCATCTTATGTGTTAACTCCTAACAGGAGAAATTTCAGAAAAAATTGCTGATATTATCATCATTCAGTAGTTTTCTTTATGTATAAAGGATGAGTTGTATGATGGATGAGTTCATGGAGTTCAGTTTATGAGCTCAGTGCTGTTTAACTAGCATGCTCCTTCCATGAATGTGTCACTCACTATGTCTTTGGAAGCCATTGCCATCCATGTCTTCATTGGTTGTACCATCATACTGTGCTCTTATTACCTGTATCCAGAAGGGGAAATTGCTCAAGCAGACTTTGGTAATTGTATTGAGCAGTTGAAATCTTCATTCATCATCATGGAAGACTTTAAATGAGCACTATTCACTGTGAGATGGGGTAGATATTGATGAGAGAAGTTGATCCATAGAAAATTCGTTCTTGGATCACAACCTTTCTCTCTTCAGTACAGGAGAATATATCTATTTCCATGCCTTAAGTCACACATTCACAGCCATTGAACTGTCCATTTGATCACTCTTTTTTTTTCTTGGGAGGTGGACAACGATCCATGAAGTAGTGATAATTTTCCTGTCACTCTGAGGGAGATTGGCTGCAGTCAGTACCACACAACTCATGTGCCACTGTGAAAGCTGAAGAATACCAATTGACCCTCCTTTAATACTCCCTAAAAGCTTGATCCTGCTACTGCTAACCTACTTTCTGTTAATGTCTGTGTGAAGGCAGTAACAAATCGTATTGTTCAGGCAGATGATCTTACCATTCGTAAGTAACACATTTTACATATTATCTTCACCTATGGTGGATGCCTTACTGCCAAAGGGCATGTAGGGCTCAGAAACAAGCCTGTGGTATTTTTCTCAAATATTTCACACTTATCCATGCCCAACAAATCAGATATTAAAGCCAGAATGATTAAACTCACTTCCAGCATCTCTTCCACCACTAGTTCCAAGGTCATTTCGGAAAAGATGTGAAAATTGAATGAGAAATATCCTTCACAATGCTTTCAATCTTGCAAATCAATGGCCAAGAAGTAGCTGAGTTACAGGGTATTTCCAACACTCTTGAAGAGTGGTTTTCCTATCATTCAAATACCTTCATCTGTTCCCCTACCTTCTTAGCCATCAAAACAGAGACTGAAAGAACTCCACCTTTGTTTTGGCCAGACTGTCTTTATAACTATAATTGACTACTCATCCTAGAACCTAAACTAGTTCTACATTGGTCTGGCAATACATCAATTGGATTGGATGATATCCATTAGAAAATGCTGTGCCATCTCTTTCTTTCCGAGACTTCTTCTTTTGGTTCTTTTCATCCACATTTGGGAGGAGAAAGAGTTTCCAAATTTCTGGTTTTATGCTATTGTCATTCCTTTTACTAAGCCAGGAAGAAACCCCAAGGTTCCTTCTAATTATAGATATGTTGCTTTGACTAACTGTCTTTGTAAATTTCCAAAGAAGATTGTTAATAATAATTTTGTTAGGTTCCTCAAATCAAATAACCTCTCAATCACACAATGTAGTTTCTGCAGACAAGCAACACCCCATGAAACACCTGATTTCACTATAAGCATCAATCATGTAAGCCTTTCTCATTAGGGAGCATCTTTTTTCATTTTGGGAAGGCTTAAGACAGTTTCAACTATTGATGAACTTGTATCAACAGAAGCAACATGACAATGGAGAAGAGAAGTGCACAAGAGTAATCTACATGGAAATCTGAAGAAGTTGGCTAGGAACTTAAATGTAAGAAAATTTCTGTTCCAACAAGAATGGGATCCCAAACACGTATCGCTACTTGTACAAGGCAGTTTGTCAGAAAAAGTGCATTGGATGAAAA